CACATGAACTCCCAAATATCTGAAAGCATTCACTTCTTCCATACTCCTCTCCAATTTGATATCCAATCATTTGATACTCTCATCACCTAACTCTTTTCTATGTTCACTTTCAACTTTCTACCTTTACACACACTCCCAAACTTGTCCATTAACCTTTGCAACTTTTCTTTAGAATCTCCCATAAGCACAGTATCAGCAAAAAGTAACTCTGTCATTTCCCATTTTGTATTTGATTCCCCATAATTTAATCCCAACCCTCTCCCCAACACCCTAGCATTTACTTCTTTTACAACCCCATATATACATAAACAACCATGGTGACATTACGCATCCCTGTCTAATACCCACCTTTACCGGGAAGTAGTCTCCCTCTCTTCCACACACCCTAACCTGAACTTCACTATCCTCACAAAAACTTCACAGTTTTTAGTAACTTACTACCTGTTCCATATACGTACTTGCAACATCTGCCACATTCCTCCCCTATCCACTCTATCATATGCTTTTTCTTAATCCATAAATGCAATGAAAACTTCCCTACCTTTATCTAAATACTGTTCACATATATGCTTCAATGTAAACACTTGATCTACACATTCCCTAACCACTCTAACACCACCTTGCTCATCCGCAATCATACGTTCTGTGTTGCCTCTAATTCTTTCAGTAATAACCCTACCATACACTTTTCCCCTACTCTGTTTACTCTGTTTTTAACTGACAGATCCATTCATTCCTAGTCTTTCTTGTTTATCTCACTCCAAAGTTTTTTCTTATTTTCATCAAAATTTCTTGACAGTGCCTCTCGTAAGCTACCTTTTTCTCTTTTATCACAACCTTTAATTCATCATTCCACCAATCGCTACTCTTTCCTCCTGCACCCACCCTCCTATAGCCACAAACTTCTGCCCCACATTCTAATACTGCATTTTTAAAGCTATTCCAACCCTCTTCAACCCCCCCCCCTCCCCCACTACTCATACTTGCACTAGCCTACCTTTCTGCCAATAGTTGCTTATATCTCACCCGAACTTCTTCCTCCCTTAGTTTATACACTTTCACCTCTCTCTTGTTGTTGCCATTTTCTTTTTGTCCCATCTACCTCTCACTCTAACTGTTGCTACAACTAAATAATGATCCAATATATCAGTTGCCCCTCTATAAACATGTACATCCTGAAGCCTACCCATCAACCTTTTATCCACCAATATATAATCTAACAAACTACTTTCATTATGTGCTATATCATACCTTGTATATTTATTTATCCTCTTTTTCATAAAATATGTATTACTTATTACCAAACCTCTTTCTACACAGCTCATTTGAAACCTCTCTCTCTCTCTCCTCTACACTTTTCTCTTCTCCAGGTGCATATACCTGGAGTTTACCTGGAGAGAGTTCTGGGGGTCAGTACCCTCGCAGCCCGGTCTGTGACCAGGCCTCATACGCTTACTATAACCCACTTGTCACATCCAACCTTTATTTTACTCCACATAATCCTTGAATTAATACATTTATACTCCCTCTTTTCCTGTCATAGCTTATCCTTCAACGTTATTGCTACTCCTTCTTTAGCTCTGTATGTTAAACAACCATGGTGGCATTACACATCCCTGTCTAAGATCTACTTTTACTGAGAAGTTATCTCCCTCTCTCCTATGAACCCTAACCTGAGCTTCACTATCCTCATAAAAACTCTTTACAGCATTTAGTAACTTATTACCTATTCCATACACTTGCAACATCTGCCACGTTGCTCTCCTATCCAATCTATCATATGCCTTTTCTAAATCCATAAATGCAATGAAAACTTTCATACCTTTATCTAAATACTGTTCACATATATTTCAGTGTAAACACCTGATCTACACGTCCCGTACCCATTCTAAAGCCTCCTTGCTCATCTGCAATCCTGCTCTCTGCCTTACCTCTAATTCTTTCAGTAATAACCCTGCCATACACTTTATCTTGTATACTCTAAACCTATAATTATTACAATCTCTTTTTGTCCCCCTTTCCTTTATATAAAGGAGTTATACACACAATGCTAATCGCTAGGTACCTTCCCTTCTTTCATACATTCATTAAACAGAAATACCAGCCACTCCAACACTATATCTCCCCCTGCTTTTAACATTTCTGTCGTGATCCCATCCATTCCAGCTGCTTTACTCTCTCTTATTCTACGTAATGCCTCATGCTTCTCCCTCACACTCACATCCTGTTCTTCTTCACTCCTAAAAGATGTTATACCCCCCTGACCAGTGCATGAAATTACTGCCTCCCTTTCTTCATCGACATTTAAAGAGTTCCTCAAAATATTCCCGCCATCTACCCAATACCTCTAGCTCCCCATCTACTAACTTCTCTACTCTGTTTTTAACTGACAAATCCATTCATTCCCTAGGCTTTCTTAACTTGTTTATCTCACTCCAAATTTTTTTTCTTATTCTCAGCAGAATTTCTTGACAGTGCCTCTCCTACTCTATCATTTGCTCTCCATTTGTACTCTCCCCACTCTCTTCACCTTTCTTTTACCCTCCATATACTCTGCCCTTTTATTATCACTTCTGCTTTGTAAAAACCTCTCATAAGCTACCTTGTTCTGTTTTATTGCACCCTTTACCTCATCATTCCACCAATCACTCCTCTTTCCTTCTGCACTCTCATATCTAGGCTGAAATTTACCACTCACTCCTTATCTGAGGGAGCTGATCTCATAACTAAGCTATATGAGGGACCCCTTGTCTCATTGATGTACAGTGGACCCTCGACCAACAATATTAATCCGTTCCAGAGAGCTTGTCATTAGTCGAATTTATTGTTAGTCGAATTAATTTTCCCCATAAGAAATAATGGAAATCCAATTAATCCGTTCTAGACACCCAAAAGTATGAAAAAAAAAAAATTCACATGAAATATACATTTTCCTACATAAAAAAAGGATACATGCACAAAAAATACTGTACTGTACTAAATGAAGAATAAATGACACTTACCTTTATTGAAGATGTAGTGGTGAGTCATGAGATGGGAGGAGGGGAGATGGAGGTGTATTAATTTGGGAACAACTTGAGTCACTGGACCTCTGTTATGCCAAAAATCTGTCCATTGAGCTCTTCCAGAACAGGCCTGTTTTGTCACAATTGAACACTTGTTGGGTTGGAATTTTTCAGCTTCGCCATGCCTTATCACACTGTGTATGCCACTACGATTCTTAAATCTCTCAAACCAACCTTTGCTGGCTTTAAATTCACCAATATGAGCACTAGTTCCAGGCATTTTTTCATGTTCACCTGGGTGTTAGTCGACTGGTGTGGGTCGCATCCTGGGGGACAAGATTAACCCGTAAATGGTCCAGGCAGATCTATGTTCACATGTGTAGTGCTCCAAAAGTAGATCTACGTTTTTTTTTTTTTTTTTTTTTTACATATTTTCAAATATAACAAAAGAAAAAAGTAGATCAAAGCTTTTTACACATTTTCAAATGTAAAAAAAAAAAAGACCTACTCTTTTTACATACTTTCAAATGTTGAAAAACCGTGTACATACGTTTGGACCGTTTACGGGTTAAAAAGGACCCCAGTGAAAATAAGTTTGACAGTCCTTGATGATGCACTGACTTTCTTGGGTTATCCTTGATGGCTTACCCCCTGGGGTTGACTGTTTCTTGTAAAGCCACACCAACAACACACACTCCACATCTTCGATTAGTACAGCTGGCGGTGGTGCAGCAGCAGCTGACCGTGGTACAGCAGCAGCAGCAGCTGACTGGTACAGCAACAGCAGCAGCTGACTGTGGTACAGCAGCAGCAGCAGCAGCTGACCATGGTACAGCAGCAGCTGACCGTGATACAGCAGCAGCAGCTGGCTGTGGTACAGCAGCAGCTGGCCATGGTACAGCAGCAGCAGCAGCAGCTGACCATGGTACAGCAGCAGCTGACCGTGGTACAGCAGCAGCAGCAGCTGACCATGGTACAGCAGCAGCAGCTGACCGTGGTACAGCAGCAGCAGCTGACCGTGGTACAGCAGCAGCAGCAGCAGCTGACTGTGGTACAGCAGCAGCTGACCGTGGTACGATAGTATTTTGATAGTATTTCTCACCCTTTTTACCACGGGGTTGGCACTAGAAGCTTTCTTTGGGCCCCTAGTGGCTTATTTAGCAGTTACAAGCACTAAAAACAGTGGAATACTACAAAACGTATCGAATGTATGCGTGGAACCATCTGCCCTGGCGCTCAGGCTGGACGGACAGGTTCGAGACAAATCATGTTGGTCGAGTTTTTCATCATTGGTCGGGCCAAAATTTTTACACTCAAACGCTTTGTTAGTCGAATTTATCGTTAGACGATGCCTTCGTTGGTTGGGGGTCCACTGTAGTTCTACATGATGGCCACTGAAAGAGATAAAATTGCTGCTTACTGAGTTTATCCAGGGAGTGCCTCAATTGCTCTTGGGTTGTGTAGGTGACAATTTGCCAATTTTATTGGGAAATATAAATGATGTATTGGTTTTCATGTATTCCTGGGAGGTATATGCAGTTTACAGTTCTTTCTTTTCAGGATTGTCAAGAATTTGAGATAGAATAAATTGTAATGGAGGAAAGAAAATTAAGAAATATTGAAAATTTGCTTTTTAAATCATTTTAAAATTTCAGGAGTTTAGTGAATTCTTGAGTATCATAAAGTATTTTTGTTAGGCTTTATTGTAGACCCCTGATATTGCAGATGCCTGATATAAAATAACTTCATTGCCAGTGTAGCAGATGAGTCGTGTAAAACAAATCTTGACATTACTGACAGTTTTGAAGAAGAACGTTTAGGTGATACAAATGGGATTGAAGAACTTGATAAGCTTGATTTTCGTAAGTGTTAAGAAGAAATTGTAGTTAGCATTCCCAATAACTGCACATCACAAACATCTGCCTCGCAATCCTTTTCCATATCACAAAAAGCAACATCCAAAAACAGACACACTGGTATTCGTATTGCTACAGATAAATGCACAGATATACCATATGGCAGTTGTCGTTGCCTAAAGAAGGAAATTTACTAGTGGTGGAAAAAGAGTGATAATTCTTCCATCTTTGGCAAACCTAACCTGTAAATATCTGAGTTCACCCCCTCCTTCCTCATCATTAGAGAGTGAAAGATTGTTCATCATTGAAGGGAACATTACTCTTCTCATAGAAACAGATTAACAAAATTGGGGAGCCGTTGATGTTCCTCAACTTTGGTTTGATCATTTTTAATTTAAGCTATTAACGCATGCATATTGACTCATGAAATCGTAATAACATTATTTGCTTCCAGACTGGCTGGGATATCAGATTTCATTCAGTCCCATTTATTTCCCAATTACATGCTAGTCTGCATATGTTGTCTCTGTTGCTGTTTGATTAGAAACCTGTGAAATGCAATAATAATCTTATCAAGCTCTGCTAAAAGTGACATATTTCTCAATCGTGGTGTTTCTTAAAGGTGTTTTCCTCACATCAGTTCATTCTTTCTGTGGTGTTTCAACTTAGTGCCCTCCACATGATAATCATGGGCCTTACCATTTTTCTTTATATTTTATTCTTCATGGTCATATATACTACCTTTATAGATTCTTCACCAATTTTGTGCAGCAGGTAGGGTGACCTAAAAAAAAAACACTTCCACCATCATTCACACTATCACTGTCTTGCCAGAGGCTTGTAGATACAACAGTTCAGATGGCCCTCCAGCAGATATCCCCACCCTTCCTTTTGAGTGCAGACACTGTACTTTCCACCTCCAGGACTCGGGTCCAGCTAACCACTTTCTCTTAATCCCTTCACAAATTGTTATCCTTCTCACACTTCAACAACTCGTCAAAGTCCCTTAAACCATTAATTATTGTTGTTATTATTATTATTATTATTATTATTATTATATTTTACAGAGTGTGGAGGGAAGATGCATCTCAGAGAAGGTGAATTTGAGAAGGCTCATACAGATTTTTTTGAAGCTTTTAAAAACTATGATGAATCTGGTAGCCCAAGACGGACAACATGCTTAAAGTACCTTGTTTTAGCAAATATGTAAGTTGAATTGCTTTGACAGCACAAATAGACTGCTTTGGGACAATTAAGCTCAAGATGAGAGTCTGACATATAAAGTGTTAATTTGTCTTCTGTTTTGCTTCATTGTGGGTTTGTTTGTATCATTGTAAGTTGAAATTGGCATACTGTAGCTTGTGAACATAAAATTTTTTACCAATATTTAACAGCAGATGAGACCTAAGTACATTAATTTTCATTTATAAATGTTTCCAGGTTAATGAAGTCTGGTATAAACCCATTCGATTCCCAGGAAGCAAAACCGTACAAGAATGACCCAGAAATTTTAGCAATGACTAACTTGGTTGCTGCATATCAGAATGATGACATCAATGAATTTGAAACTATCTTAAAACAAAACCGATCAAATATCATGGATGATCCATTTATTCGAGAACACATTGAAGGTTGGTAAATAATGTATCAGTTTTTGGAAATATAAATTCTGTATTTTGGATATACATTTTTTGCTACAGGCATACTGCATTGAATATTGAACTGTTATTTCTGATTTGCCCTTTATACAAAAATTAATTTGAAAACAGTTTGAGCCATACTCAAAAAAATGTGGGCTAGGGTCAATGACATTATATTTCCATTATTTTTCCTAGCATGTTTCTCTCATTATTTTTGTGTAATTTCTGTTGCTGTACATTCCTTTTTTTTTTTTTTCTCATGATCCCCAAATTGAAAACGGACCTATGAATTTAATTCAAAGTACTTTCTTTTTTTACACTGAAGATAGAGCCATATTTAAAGAGAGATCTCTGAAGGAAGGTTTCTTGATGCCATTGAGGGTTTTGTGATCCAAGGAATTAAACCCAACCTCCCTTTCCCTGGATCATAGCTCATTATTTTCTCCTTCCTCCAGTGCTGTATGAACCCTACGGTTTTATCATTTAATCTATGGATGTAATACTGTTAATTTGAAGAGATGTAACCAGAAAACTAACTTAAGGCTTAATCCAGGAACAGGATTTTTCTGAAAATGATCTCTATCAGTTCTGCATTTTAAGCTGTTTTCTCAGATTCACACCTATGAATTGGAATTTGAATGCAGATAGAGCAGCCTTTGTATGTAGAGAATGGCTACACACTGCAGCAAGTGTTGAGTGTATAGTGAATAAAAATGGATAAACTAGAATTTTTTGTAGAAAAGTTTAAGAGAAAAAAACAAAGATTTCTAACAATTTATTTTAAGTTCTGTCATGTTAATTGAGTTGTCAGGATAATTAATCTAAGGACAAGAACAACATTCCTTAAAGATGCAACAAGAGCTAATCAATTTTTATTTGATATATGAAAAATTATACAGGGAAAGGTCAAAGCACATAAAACAACTTAGTTTGGATGAAATATTTAAAAAAAAAATAGCTCAGAAGAGTGTGGCATATCAGTAAGCCAACATCTGAAAATCATGGGGCTTCAACTTCAAGTACCCCAGATGTCCTCCCTGCAACAACACACATCTATAATGAAACAGTCTTGAGTGAAACAGTACTCCTGGCAACCTTCAGGTTCCAGACCTTTGCAATTAGTTCTACAGTTTCAGTAAAATTCTCAAATTTACCACTTTGAGGGGTATTATTACAACAGTCTTTGTAAGTACACAAATTAAAAAAACTCTTTCATTTAAACTAAAGTTTAATTTAAGTTTCTATACCCTGAAAGAGCATACATGTAATAAGTGGGTTAGAGGTGTACATAATGATGAATTATTATGTGACCTCTGTTGGTCCAGTAAAATGAATATTTTGGCAAGGCTTAGGACCCAAAGGTGCCAAAAAAATTGTTGTTGCTCTGTGTTTGTGTGTGCGCACACATGTGCACATAAGTGTGTGCTTGTACCCCCACACACACTGCATTTGTTTATTCATTTATTTTAAAAAACAAAGCATTATCTAATCATATTTAGCAGGCACTCAACAGGAAAATCTGAAGCCAGACTTCCCTCTTGACTGCCTGATCAATAAGGCTGCTGCTGCCTATTGCTCAAAGAGTCGCATACCAGTAATAACCCGGCTATGCAGGCACTTCCTGTAGGAACCAGTTCTGGTTTCTTATGAAAACGCCTACCATAATTTTGGTAATTCTCGTATCTTCTAGTAAAAGGTTAAAAAATCTTCAACTAGTGATGTAAAGGTTGAAAAATCTTAGACTAATGATGTTGATATTGTTTCGTAATTGCACTTAGGGGACACCTGCTTTTAATCATATTTATTCAACACTACATTCCATACTTTTCACCTCAATGACCAAATTTGGGCCTGGCCTTCGAGCATTTTCCATGTATATTTTGTGTGTATTAAGTATGGTATGTGTCTCGTCTCTGTTCCAGAGTGTGCCTTTAAAATACCATACTGTAAGATATTTCCAGTGCTGTAGTACATATGTTTCATTTACTCTTTATGTGAATGGTGAAAGATCTTCGCATATTTTCTGGTTTTGAGATATCTCCTGCCTTGAGTTACCTTTGTAATTAGTTCAGCTATCATAACTTTGGGGTCCAGTCCCTGGACCCATTATGTACCTTTGTAATCTTTTGACTACCGCCCACAGGATGGGTATGGGATGCATAATAAAGATATTAAACTAACTAACTTGAGGGGATCTTTCCAAAAAACAGTATTCCATATGTGAGAGTACATGTAATTTGAATAACACTAAATTTCATGTCTTGTTTTGAAAGTTCTTGTAAACCAACCTGTTGTTCTCCTGCCCCTTAAAGCATTTTTCTTAGTGTTTTTCAACCAGTAAGTTATTTGACATATATTACTCCAAGTTTTTTTTTTTTTAGCCTATGAAAAGGTCTACCTTCTGAAATTTGTGACTGTTAAACATTGTTCTATTTTCCTCTGCCCACTGAAAGATTGTATTTGTTGAGTGATTGGTGGAATGATGAAGTAAAGGGTGTGATAAAAGAGAAAATGTTAGCTTATGATAGGTTTTTACAAAGTAGTAATGTTAGAAGGGGTGTATATGGAGTATATGGAGAGTAAAAGAAAGGTGAAGAGAGTGGTGAGAGAGTGCAAAAGGAGAGCAGATGATAGAGTAGGAGAGGCACTGTCAAGAAATTTTAATGAAAATCGGAAAAAAATTTTGGAGTGAGTTAAACAAGTTAAGAAAGCCATGGGAACGAATGGATTTGTCAGTTAAAAACAGAGTAGGGGAGTTAGTAGATGGGGAGATGGAGGTTTTGGGTACATGGTGAGAATATTTTGAGGAACTTTTAATTGTCGACGAAGAAAGGTAAGCGGTAATTTCATGCACTGGTCAGGGAGGTATACCATCTTTTAGGAGTGAAGAAGAACAGGATGTGAGTGTAGGGGAGGTGCGCGAGGCATTACGTAGAATGAAAGGGGGTAAAGCAGCTGGAACTGACGGGATCATGACAGAAATGTTAAAAGCAGGGGGGGATATAGTGTTGGAGTGGTTGGTATTTTTGTTTAATAAATGTATGAAATAGGTAGTAGGTTTGTAGACAGCAACCGCCCAGAGAGGTACTACCGTCCTGCCAAGTGAGTGTAAAACGGAAGCCTGTAATTGTTTTACACAATAGTAGGATTGCTGGTGTCTTTTTTTTTCTGTCTCATACACATGCAAGATTTCAGGTACATCTTGCTACTTCTACTTACACTTAGGTCACACTACACATACATGTATAAGCATATATATACACACCCCTCTGAGTTTTCTTCTATTTTCTTTCTAGTTCTTGTTTATTTCCTCTTACCTCTATGGGGAAGTGGAACAGAATTCTTCCTCCGTAAGCCATGCGTGTTGTAAGAGGCGACTAAAATGCCGGGAGCAAAGGGCTAGTAACCCCTTCTCCTGTATATATTACTAAATTTAAAAGGTGAAACTTTGTTTTTTTCTTTTGGGCCACCCCACCTCAGTGGGATACGGCTGGTATGTTGAAAGAAGAAGAAATATATGAAAGAGGGGAAGGTACCTAGGGATTGGCGGAGAGCATGTATAGTCCCTTTATATAAAGGGAAGGGGGACAAAAGAGATTGTAAAAATTATGAAGGAATAAGTTTACTGAGTATACCAGGAAAAGTGTACGGTAGGGTTATAATTGAAAGAATTAGAGGTAAGACAGAATGTAGGACTGCTGATGAGCAAGGAGGTTTTAGAGTGGGTAGGGGATGTGTAGATCAAGTGTTAACATTGAAGCATATGTGTGAACAGTATTTAGATAAAAGTAGGGAAGTTTTCATTGCATTTATGGATTAAGAAAAGGCATGTGATAGAGTGGATAGGGGAGCAATGTGGCAGATGTTGCAAGTATATGGAATAGGTGATAAGTTACTAAATGCTGTAAAGAGTTTTTATGAGGATAGGCTCATGTTAGGGTGTGTAGAAGAGAGGGAGACTACTTCCTGGTAAAAGTAGGTCTTAGACAGGGATGTGTAATGTCACCATGGTTGTTTAATATATTTATAGATGCGGTTGTAAAAGAGGTAAATGCTAGGGTGTTCGGGAGAGGGGTGGGATTAAATTATGGGGAATCAAATGCAAAATGGGAATTGACAGTTATTTTTAGCTGATGATACTGTGCTTATGGGAGAGTCTAAAGAAAAATTGCCAAGGTTAGTGGATGAGTTTGGGAGTGTGTGTAAAGGTAGAAAGTTGAAAGTGAACATAGAAAAGAGTAAGGTGATGAGGGTATCAAATGATTTAGATAAAGAAAAATTTGATACCAAATTGGGGAGTAGTAGTATGGAAGAAGTGAATGTTTTCAGATACTTGGGAGTTGACGTGTCGGCGGATGGATTTATGAAGGATGAGGTTAATCATAGAATTGATGAGGGAAAAAAGGTGAGTTGTGAGTTGAGGTATATGTGGAGTCAAAATACGTTATCTATGGAGGCAAAGAAGGGAATGTATGAAAGTATAGTAGTAAGAACACTCTTATATGGGTGTGAAGCTTGGGTTGTGGATGCAGCAGTGAGGAGGTGGTTGGAGGCAGTGGAGATGTCCTGTCTAAGGGCAATGTGTGGTGTAAATATTATGCAGAAAATTTGGAGTGTGGAAATTAGGAGAAGGTGTGGAGTTAATAAAAGTATTAGTCAGAGGGCAGAAGAGGGGTTGTTGAGGTGGTTTGGTCATTTAGAGAGAATGGATCACAGTAGAATGACATGGAAAGCATATAAATCTATAGGGGAAGGAAGGCGGGGTAGGGTCGTCCTCGAAAGGGTTGGAGAAGGGGTAAAGGAGGTTTTGTGGGTAAGGGGCTTGGACTTCCAGCAAGCGTGCGTGAGCGTGTTAATAGGAGTGAATGGAGACGAATGGTACTTGGGACCTGACGATCTGTTGGAGTGTGAGCAGGGTAATATTTAGTGAAGGGATTCAGGGAAACCGGTTATTTTTCATATAGTCGGACTTGAGCCCTGGAAATGGGAAGTACAATGCCTGCACTTTAAAGGAGGGGTTTGGGATATTGGCAGTTTGGAGGGATATGTTGTGTATCTTTATATGTTTATGCTTCTAGACTGTTGTATTCTGAGCACCTCTGCAAAAACAGTGATAATGTGCGAGTGTGGTGAAATTGTTGAATGATGATGAAAGTATTTTCTTTTTGGGGATTTTCTTTCTTTTTTGGGTCACCCTGCCTCGGTGGGAGACGGCCGACTTGTTGAAAAAAAAAAAAAAAAAAAAAAATTCTTTCCAGACACAGACAGGCCTCGCATAGCACACTGTTATGTAGCACATTTTTATTATAATGCTATTCATATTTGTTGAAAAAATACCAGACCATGGTTTTGCATAGATTTATGAGATGTAAATGTTTCAAAATAGTGGCTCAGGCATAAAAACTTATGTTCAGAGATTTATATGGCTCAGGGAAATCTGGTTCCTGAATCTGGCTCATTATTGCATACAGTATGTTGTAGTGGCCTTTTTAACCTCGATAGACTACTGGCCCCACACCGAACAGCTGATTAAATATCGACAGATGGTTCACAATCTCCAAACACTTTTACATCAACAAGCAATTTAACGTATGATAAAATTCTTCCTTCTCATTATTATAAACGAGAAATAGTGAATTGAGTGATGTCGTCATTTGATTAAATTTGCAAATCGAGTCTCCTGATAAAAATGGACAACCCACAGCCATCTGTTGAGTGATGAGTTACATAACTATTTCCAAAGCCTTTTACATCAATATGCAAAAGAAAAGGGAATTTATGATATAAAACTTCTTTGTCACTTTCATAAATTATAAAATTTTCAAGTAAAAGATGTGATGGAATCATTTAATCAAATGTATGATTGGCATCAACTAGTAAACATAAATGCATAGCTCTCAGCCATGTACTGCCCAGTACTCTCATAACTATCTCCAAACACTTGTACTTCAACAATTAGGAGAAACAAAAAATTTAAGGTAGAGTAAAACTCTCTTGTTACTTTAAGCGTATTTTATTCTGTTTAGAGGGACATCTAACTTCTTATCTGCTCGCCTCTGGCAAGTTAGTGAAAGTGTTTCTTTTTCGGGTCACCCTGCCTCATTGGGAGACAGCCAGCACATAAAAAAAAAAAAAGATTGTGTGCTAAATACAGTGGACCCCCGGTTAACGATATTTTTTCATTCCAGAAGTATGTTCAGGTGCCAGTACTGACTGAATTTGTTCCCATAAGGAATATTGTGAAGTAGATTAGTCCATTTCAGACCCCCAAACATACACATACAAACACACTTACATAAATACACTTGCATAATTGGTCGCATTGGGAGGTGATCGTTATGCGGGGGTCCACTGTATATAGTCAATGGTGGCATATTAACCATCTCTTGTTTTCTCTGGAAGGAGCACCATGCCCATTTTCTCTGGAAGGATAGACGGTATACTGCGTTAAACACCAGCATCGAACATGAACCCAGGAGCCTCTGCCTTGTCCTGCTTGGTGTAATGGGAATGGAGTGGGAACTGAGAAGGAGGCCTGTGGCCTAGTGTTTATGTGCACAGTCTGCATGAGTCACAGATAGCCATTTAGCCTAGCTAGACAGGGAGTCTATGTATAACATAGCTGGTACTATCTACATATACTACACAAGTATATTACATAGAAAATCAGTGACACTACTGACATATTTAGTAAGTAATTTTTATCTAGGATTGGGTACAGAGCATGTATTATTAAATCAACAAGCAATGACATCTACAATGTATTTGTCAAAATCTTCATTACTCTTGACAAAATAAGCTAAAAAAAAAAATTATCTTGTTTTAGAAGTGCCGTGAACCTAATCCTATTTGCCCCATTCGTTACTCGTATTACATAGCTGGAAATTACATAAAGTGACGATTTCAGGAACGTAACTCCCCGCCTTGGTGGGAAACAACCGACATGTTAAGAAAACTCGTTATTTGAGGTCAGCGTGTATCTGACTATTGACTAACGACCTATACTAGGTCTTTGGTGGTCAATTCACAGGATGTTTACAGTTGGTGGGATTATAATATAGTGTAAGAATTTGGTAATCATGAATAAACTGATTGAGAGTATAATAGAGAAATGGATGTGAGCATTTGCATCAAAGCTAAATGTAAAATATCGTATATGTTCAATTTGCTCATTAGTTGCTATCTTTGCCATAATACTAATGTACTGAATCCTGGTTTTGAATTTTCTCCTCATAGTGGCAGTGCAGCATGCCCAAGCAAACAGATGTTATCAGGCCTCACAAAGTCGTAATAGGGCACTGCAAAATTTGTTTTTGTAAGGATTCTGAAAGTTTCTAAGACTTTTAAACCTTTGCCCTTAAAAAAAACTATAGTGGTCCTCAATTATCGCCTAATCCGTTCCTTGAAGTAGGACTAATTATCAAATAGACGATTTTCCGAACAATGTTTCCCACAAGAAATAATGTAAATCAATTAATTCGTGTCCAGACACGGAAGTACAAAGACAATTTTTTTGTTTTCTAAAAGAAATTACATGACACAAAGAATGACATTCAACATAACATTACCTTTATTGGAAGCTGTTGCAGATGAATGAAGAACAGAGGAGAAGAATGGAATAGAGGTTGTTTGAAGGGAAATCCCCTCCATAAGGTATCTAGTCATTCAGTGGTTTCACATGCCTAGCATAAATATAAGATTTACATGCGAAAGATGCAATAATGTAAAGCATTAACAAATGGTATAAATGAACATTGGTAATAGGGTAGTTGAAGAGTGGAACAGTCTGCCTATAGGGTGATCAAAGCTAAACATTGAGTAGTTTCAAATTTAGGTTGGATAAATACATGAGTGAGAGGGGTTGGATTTGAGTCGACTTGCACCTGAGCTTATTGCTTGGGTAGCATTTGTTCTGTTAGTGGGTTGGATTTGTGAAGGACTGGCCTAGTATGGGCCAACAGACTTATTACAGTGTTCCTCCCTTCTTATGTTCTAAAAGCTATGGCTTGGGTAGTTTCAAATTTAGGTTGGATAAATACACGAGTGAGAGGGGTTGGATTTGAGTCAGACTTGCACCTGAGCTTATTGCTTGGGTAGCATTTGTTCTGTTAGTGGGTTGGATTTGTGAAGGACCGGCCTAGTATGGGCCAACAGACTTATTGCAGTGTTCCTCCTTTCTTATGTTCTTATTGAAGACTTGTTTGTGTGAGGGAGGGATGTTAAGTTTATTGTTGGAGAATGACACTAATATCAACTCTACGGCTTATTTATCTATCACAATTCAACTAATATGACATAAACAATATTAATAACATAGAAACATGGAATATACTCTAGAATGAATAAAATAAGTCATTACGTATGCCACAAGAGGTGTTGTGTTGTTGGGTATATAAGGGCCACTGAGAGTAAGCCGTCCATAATGGTAGTGAAGCAGCAGCTGAGGCGGTGGTGTTTTCTGTAGCCCTATATAACTCCAACAACATTAGAGGAGTTGGTAGAATCGCTGAATCACTAAAGAAGGAACCCTCTACCACCATCACTATGACCTTCTACCACTATTACAACTGTTACCACCATCACTACTATCTTCTACCACCATCAACCACTATCACAACTGCTTCCACTCTACCACCACCACCTTTGTATTTTTCTACAAACTTTTTCATAAATTATATGTGTTTTTCACATTCTTTACCAAAGAGCTGGCACTAGAAGCTTTCTTTGGAGCCAAGGTAGCTTATTTAGCACTTGCAAGCACTAAAATCAATGGAATATTATGAAATATTTCGTAGGAGCAAGTGAGGGGACCATCACTCACTGGTAAACAATGGCACACTGGCTGGGAAGACAGGCCCAGGCGGCTCTGAGTGTGAGTACGTGTCCCAGACGCAGGACGATTAGCGAGTTAATGGACCACTTGCGAGCCAATGTTTAGACGAAATAATGGGACTATTTCCGAAATGGACGACTTTCAGGCTGGACGATTATTGAGGGACCACTGTATTCTCAAACATTCCACTTGTTAGTCAAATAAATCTGTACGAGCATGTAAGATGAAGTGAAATATTACACACAATATATTTTTGCTTTAACTTGGACAGAATTTCTGGTGTTTATGAAGGGATTCAACAATACTTATTTGACCTTTCAGTCTCTCACTTTGCTTAATATCTAAACTGCTTGTGCATTTCACATTTCTTAAACTACTTTCTTTCAGATTTACTAAGAAACATCCGTACACAGGTCCTCATAAAGTTAATCAAGCCGTATACGCGAATTCACATCCCTTTCATCTCAAATGAACTCAATATTGATGCCACTGATGTTGAAGCTTTGCTAGTGCAGTGCATTTTAGACAAGTAAGTCTTATATTTTAGTATATTCTAGTATATGATCATTAACTTTTAATTGGATATTAAATGAATCCATGAAATATGTAATTCATACTTTAATTTTCATCCATGTAAATACTTGAGTAAAATGCTTAAATAATAATATTGGAGATGATACCTAAAATTCAATTGTTAATTACATATATTTTTATAGTTTTCTTCATGCTGAATGAACTACAGTACCATGATTAATCAGTGGCATTATCAGTAATATACTGTAGTCACTACCAGTGTGTGCTAGGCAGAACATAAGTTGACATCAGGTAGATTACATGATGAGAAGGCCTGATAAATCTGGATATAAAATGAATTGAAATTATATCATGTTTTGGTATTTTTCGTATGTGGCAGCTGAAAATGAGGCAAGAGTTCTGAATATTCAAGGACTAAAATACCAGTTCCAAGAGTATGATGTAGTGCAACACTTTAATACTTTCTTTTCATAAAATCTATAACTAATGTGGGCAAAGTGGTCAGCTGTCTCACTTTAAGTTTAGTGTTTCACAATTTTAGTAGAGGGGTTACTTTAAATATGTGTAAGCTATCTTTCACAAACACTAAGCAAGTTATTTGCAGTAAAAAAAAATTTTTTTTTTTTACCCTTTCGGCCGTACCAGTACGGCTTACGCACCAGGGTTTTTGACGTACTAGTAAGCCTAAATTCTAGCGCCCTCAAATCTAGTGAGAGAAAACTGGTAGACCTACATATGAAAGAATGGGGCTATGTGGTCAGTGTGCGCAGTATAAAAAATATCCTGCGGCACACAGTGCATAATGAGAAAAAAAAACTTTGACCGTGTTTTTGGATTAAAACAGCGACTTTGCACTGTATTTTCGTATGTTATTTATTGTTGTATTCTAGTTTTCCTGGTCTCATTTTATAGAATGGAAGACGTATTACAGAAATTGAGATGATTTTGACTGGTTTTACAATGAAAAGTACCTTGAAATTGAGGTCAAATTAGCAGAAATGTTCGATTTTTACCAAAGCTCAGAAGTAAACAAATTGTGCCAAGCGTCCAGTACACGTCAACTGGTGAGTCTAATATTCTTTCACAAGTGCGCTGATATTATTTATACCATTTCTACACTAAAGCAGTAGTCTGCATAACAGTAAATCTTCTATTTTTTGTGAGAATAAAAATTCAAAGTGGAAAGCAAAAGAATGTAAGAGGGGCATGGGGACATGACTAATGAACAGAGGAAATGTTATTTTAGTGCCAGGAATGTCTTTCTTGTTTATTCTTGGAAATTGGCATCTTTTGAAATTTGTGTGAAATTGCGAAATTCTCACCACTGTATTGGATAGTTGAAATCGGTAAATGGGTGGTTTCTTGTACTCATTTGATAGAAAAAATGGAGTTCTAGCAAAATAATTATGATTTTTGTCGACTAGTACACTGGAATTGGCTGAAAATAGGGCTCAAAGTGGGCAAAATCGCCAGTGCGTAAACATCATCGAGACCGCTAACTTCGCGAGAGAATAATTCCATAAGTTTTCCATCAAATTTCATACTTTTGGTGTCATTATGATCGGGAAAATATTCTGTCATTTCATAAGATTTTTTTTTTTTTTTTTTTTTTTTTTTTTTTTTTTTTTTTTTTTTTTTTTTTTTTTTTTGCGCGCGCGCGCATTTTAAATTTGGGCGACCCTGAGAACAAGTCTGGGAGAGGGCCTGGGGACCCTGAAAAAGTTAAGAATTGTAATGTGAAGAGCATAAAACTGATGTACAGCCTATAGTATGCATGGCATTTTGGGCAGAATTACTGTTATAAAATTGAATATTGAGCCTTATATAAAATTCAGATTATTAAAATAATACTGACATATATAACATAATAAACAGTACCGTGGCTATTAACCCATAAGCGGTCCAGATGTATATATACGTTCATTACCCCAGTGCCCCAAATACAGTGGTCCCTCGTTTATCGTAATTAATCCATTCCTGGAAGTGTTGTTATTATCGAAATCTACGATTTTTGAATCAGTTTTCCCCATAAGAAATAATGTAAATACAATTAATCCATTCCTGACACCCAGAAGTACTAAAACCAAAAAAATTTTTACATGAAATATAGATGTAGGACATAAACAATACAATGATGAATGAAACATTACCAGCATAACACTTACCTTTATTGGCGATTCTTCTTAGTGTATGGGAGACTGGAGGAGGAGACAGATTGCATTAGTTACTCTTTGGAAGGGGATTCCCTTTCCATCAACACCTCAGGTACCAATTGCTTTTCTGGGGTTACTTCTCTTCTCTGTTTCTTAATGCCACTAGGACCAGCTTGAGTCACTGGAGTCCTGTCTCACAAAATAACTGTCCAGAGAGCTCTGTTTCTGGCATCTCTTTAACACTTCCCTAAAATGGGCCAAGACTTTGTCACTGTACATGTTGCCAACATGGCTTGCAACAGCCTTGTCAGGGTGATGTTTCTCCATAAGTCTTTCCATCTTACCCAACATTTCAAAAATCTCCTTAATTTCTGAAGAAGGCACCTTCTTCCATCTCTCTCCCTCTGCAGTAAGATTCTGAGCTGCGATCTGTTGCTGTTCCTGCTGAAGCTCTTGCAGCTCCTCAGTGGTGAGCTCTTCATTGTGGTCTTCCACCAACTCTTCCACATCCTCCAAACTCACATCCAACCCCATGGAACTCCAGTGCCACAATAGATTTAACAACTGACATAGGCTCATCAGGGTCAGCCCCAAACCCTTCAAAATCCTCTTGTGGACACAATCTGGCTACAGTTTTCTCTAAGCAGTGTTCAAAATCCTGGTAGTCACTCCCTTCCAAGCCTTACCTATAAGGCTTATGCAATGGAGGATACTGAAGTGTTCTTTCCAAAAATCTCTTAGGGTCAAGTGAGTGTCTGAGGTCATATTCAAGCACCTTTGAAACATTGCTTTGGTGTAGTTTTTTTTTTAAAGTTTGCAATGACCTGCTGGTCCATGGGCTGGAGGAGAGGAGTGGTATTCGGGAGCAAGAACTTTACTGGGATGAACCCAAACTCCTCGAAAATTACGTCAACCAAGTTTGGAGGATGAGCAGGTGCATTGTCCATTACTAGGAGGCACTTGAGATCCAATTTCTTTACCAGGAGGTAATTCTTCACACTAGGGCCGAACATTTCATTGAATCACTCGACGAAAATTTCCCTCGTGACCCATGCCTTACTATTAGATTTCCAAAACACACACAATTTACTCTTCATAACAGTTTTTCCTGAACACACTGGGATTTTCGGAATGGTACATTATTAACGGCTTCACTCTGAAATCCCCACTAGCATTAGCACAGAACATGAGTGTCAGCCTGTCTTTCATAGGCTTGTGTCCTGGCAGTGCCTATTCCTCCTGAGTAATGTAGGTCCTCTTTGGCACTTTCTTCCAAAGGAGGCCTGTTTCATCACAATTGAACACTTGTTCATGTTTCTGTCCTTCAGCCTCTATGTACTCCTTGAATTCATGAGGCATTACATAGAATGAAAGGGGGTAAAGCAGCTGGAACTGATGGGATCATGGCAGAAATGTTAAAAGCAGGGGGGGATGTAGTGTTGGAGTGGTTGGTACTTTTGTTTAATAAATGTATGAAAGAGGGGAAGATACCTAGGGATTGGCAGAGAGCATGTATAGTCCCTTTATATAAAGGGAAAGGGGACAAAGGAGATTGTAAAAATTATAGAGGAATAAGTTTACTGAGTATACCAGGAAAAGTGTACGGTAGGGTTACAATTGAAAGAATTAGAGGTAAGACAGAATGTAGGATTGCGGATGAGCAAGGAGGTTTCAGAGTGGGTAGGGGGTGTGTAGATCAAGTGCTTACATTGAAGCATATATGTGAACAGTATTTAGATAAAGGTAGGAAAGTTTTTATTGCATTTATGGATTTAGAAAAGGCATATGATACACTGGATAGAGGAGCAATGTGGCAGATGTTGCAAGTACAGTGGGCCCTCAACCAGCGATGGTATTGATAAACAATAAATCTGACTAGCGATACATTTAAACAAAAATTTTGCCTTGAGTAGCACTTAAAAACCTGACCAGCGCTATTCGTTCCGTACGAGATGCGTCCACTTTGGCTGGCCTGAGGCGCCTCACTTGTCCCATGGGTGCCAGTGTTTACAAGCCAGCCAGCCACCGCGGTCGCTTCCAAACATACAACTGGAACATTTCATATTATCACAGCCTTTGTAGTGATTGCACCTGCAAAATAAGTCCCCATGGGCCCCAAGAAAGCTTCTAGTGCCAACCCTACAGCAAAAAGGGTGAGAATTACTATGGAGATGAAGAAAGAGATCATTGATAGTATGAAAGTGGAGTGCGATCTCTGAGCTGTCAGGTTGTATAATAAACCCCAATCAACCATCGCTACTATGTGGGCAAGAAAACGGCAATCAAGGAAGCTGTTTTTGCCAAAGGTGCAACTTGTTTTCGAAACTGAGTTTACACAGTGGTAGAAATGTTGAGAGACTCTTATTGGTGTGGTATAAACCCAGAACAGATGGCAGGAGATAGCATCTCTCAAGCGATCCATGTGAAAAGGCTAGGAAGTTGCATGACGATTTATTAAAAAAATGCCGACAAACTAGTGATGTGAGTGAATTTAAGGCCAGCAAAAGTTGGTTTGAGAGATTAAGAGGCGTAGTGCATACATAGTGTGATAAGGCATGTGAGGCTGCCAGTTCGGACCACAAAGCAGCTGAAAAATATGTGCAGGAATTCAAGGAGTACATAGACAGTGAAGGACTGAAACCTGAACAAGTGTTTAATTGTGACGAAACAGGCCTGTTTTGGAAGAAAATGCCAAGCAGGACGTACATTACTCAGGAGGAAAAGGCACTCCAGGACATAAGCCTATGAAAGACAGGCTTACTCTGTTGATGTGTGCCAATGCTAGTGGTGATTGCAAAGTGAAGCCTTTATTGGTGTATCACTTTGAAACTCCCAGAGTGTTCAGGAAAAACAATGTCCTC